TGTAAGGCAAACGCCAATTTCTCCTCTCTAAATACTCTAAGAGCATGAAAGAAATGTGCAGCATGCCCCAGTGCATTTTCTTTAGCCTTTTCCATTGGAAACCCCTGTCTTATGTCAGTGGGTTGCAAAATGATTTCAAAATGTGTGTGCTCAGTGTCACCATCTTTATTGTGTTAAAGCCATAATCCCAGGTACCACTGACTGCTCTGACCTGCATCAGTGGCCAGTGTGGTGCAAAACATCATCTGGTTTTGCCCACACCAAAAATAACAAGATCAAAAGAGCATGATTTGTCAAAAAAAGGGTGAAGGAATTGGAATTGTTTGGTGTAGAAGCCAAAAAAGAGATGTAAGCTTTACAACATATAAAATTTAGCTACAGACAGGTTGGCTACAAAGTTGAAGGGAAACTGTTCTCCGGGTTGGCTTTGAAGAGGTCAGAACTGGAAGGGAGATTGCAACAAGGGAGATGCAGATTTTAGACATTAGAAAGAAAGATCTTTTTAATGCTGAAGGTATGAACAGATTATTTTGAGATCCTGTGAAATCCTAGTTAGAAAGGTTAAGCACGTATTTCTTTAGGAATGACAGAAACAGTTTTTCCGAACACGCGCAGGCAGAGCGCAATTTTGCAAGTTAGGTTTTTTCTCTGATTTGGAGACATAAACGCAATACAAAATCACCTTTGAACTTTATCAGTGTTGCACAGATTGCTATTCAGATGTTGCTTACTCTCTTTAAAAATGTGGCTGAATCAATTAACATAATATTATCTCTAAATATCTAATATTATTTTGGTTTTGTCTAACACTTTATTTAGCTTCCGTTCTCACTTCATCTAGGAAAGAAAAAAAAAAAAAAAAGCAGCAGTTGATTCCTGGGAACCCTGCTTGGAGAAATATACATACCCTGCATGGCATAAAGGGATTTTTATTTTTTTCTTTTGCATATATGCCATCTTTATCCAGAACCTTTATCTTCTTTCTTTTTTAAAATTATTAATTATCTTGCCTTCTCAGCCATTGAATGCAAAACTTAAAAGTGTCCCTGAATACAACTACTTTGATTCTTAAGATAGCATATGTTGGAAATGAAAGCATAAGTTTTGAATATTTGAGTGAAGTGAATTAAGACATAATTATGTGTTGCCTTCTTCACTACTATACTTATTTTATTACTAGCAAGTAGGCTGTTGTCACATCCCAAAAAAATACTGAATGCAGTAAAAATTCCAGGCTGCAGATGGTAGATGTTAAGCTGTATGTGACAGGAGTTCTGCTACGGAAGACCTGACTGACTGACTTGCCAAGTGTAAAACATGAACAGAAGATCAGTGCTTCCATGCCCTCTTCTACTCCTGCCCCTATAGAGTAGTCATTTGGAGACTGGAGCAGCTGAAAAGCTGCCCGGCAGAAAAGGACGTGAGGCTGTTGGCTGACAGCTGGCTGAACATGAGCCAGCCGTGTGCTCAGGTGGCCAAGAAGGCCTGTATCAGAAACAGTGTGGCCTGTATCAGAAACAGTGTGGCCAGGGAAGTGATCGTGCCCCTGTACTTGGCCCTGGTGAGGCCACATCTCAAATACTGTGGTCAGTTTTGGGCCTCTCTCTACAAGAAGGACATTGAGTTGCTGGAGTGTGTGCAAAGAAGGGCAGTGGTCTGGAGAACAGGTCTAATGAGGAGCTGCTGAGGGAACTGGAGTGGTTTAGTCTGGAGAAGAGGAGGCTGAGGGGAGACCTTATTGCTCTCTACAACCACCTGAAAGGAGGTTGTAGTGAGGTGGGGGTTGGTCTCTTCTCTCAAGTAACTAGTGATAGGATGAGAGGAAATGAACTCAAGTTGAGCCAGGGAAGGTTTAGGTTGGATACTAGGAAAAATTTATTTACTGAAAGAGTGGTCAAGCACTGGAACAGGCTGCCCAGGTGTGGTGGTTTAACCACAAAGACTTGCTCACCCTCCCCACTCCGGTGGTTTGGGGAGAAGAAAATATAAATGGATGAGGCTCACGGGTGAAGACACAGGCAGTTTACTAGAATGGTAAAGAAGAGAGAAACAACACCAAACAATAACAACAACAATAATACTAATGAAAGAATATACAACACAGGTGATACAGGGAACCAAACAGCTCACCACCCGACTTCCCAACCTGATCCCGAACTGCAGTACCCGGTACCCACCCCCTTCCCTGAACTTCTGTCCTGGTTTTTAGCTGAAACAGAGCTGTTTAAATACTGAGCATGACGTCACATGTTATGGAATACCCACTTTGGTCCGTTTGGGTCAGCTGCCCCAGCTTCTCCCCTCCCAGTTCCCTGTGAACAATTAACTGTATCCTAACCAAACCAAATATTGAATTTTTCTTTCCCAAGTCGAGTCTGTTTTGCCTGTGACCATAATTGGTGAGTGAGCCCTCCCTGTCCTCATTTCAACCCACAAGCTCCGTTGTTATGTTTTCTGTCCCCCATCCCACTGGAGCAGGGGGCAGTGGGTAAATGACCCACATGGTCTTAGCTGCTGGCTATGGCTAAATCCATCACAGATCCTAACGTGCATAACCACACTCAAATGATTAAAAAGATGCCTTATTAGATCTAAGTTATGCATCAAAAGCTGCTGCTTTCATGGATGTATGGGAAAAAAAACTTATCAAAAGGATAGGTAGATATTGTCAGATTATTAGTTTAAAATGTTGCTGTGAAGGAAACTGTTTTGATATAACTAGTTTTAAATTGTGCTGTGATTTTTGAGAGGAAGACCTCTGTAATTTTTTTTCCACCATAGCACCAGTGGACTCTAGGTGAGCTCTTCAGAGAGACTACTAGTGAACTGAATCCAGTTTCTTTTATGTGTTAGAGTTGTTACTGTTCTTTCAAGTTGTTTTACTTTTCCTCTTCTCTCTTTGCTGAATGTTACTAAGAACACAACTTAAAAAAAAGGTTCTTCAGGCTTGGATTCATTTGGTAAACTGCACTGAGATAATCGTCTGGCATTTTACAGTCCTGCTTATTATGGCAAGATTTACTGGCAGCTCTTTTAAACATCCTGCAGATCCATCTCTGATCTTTCTGCAGTCTATTGGAATATTCTCTTTTTGATTCTAGAACTCTGTTTTAAATAGAAGCATCTCATTGCAGTCCTTATTCCAAGACTGGGTCCTTGTTTCATGCTACTATTTATTTCCAATTAAAGCTTATTCAAGTAGATCAAAGTTCCTCATGGGTGTTCATCTCCTTGGGAATCACTGAATCAACAGAAGTTTGCAGCAGCACAGGACAGCTTTTCAAAGCCAGGCAGCTTTTATTTTGTCAGCCAGAATGAGAGCATGTCCTTGGGTGACAGTAGAGAAGCGAAAGTCTTGCAGTTGTGGTGATGGTAGGTGCATCTCTGTGTCTCTGATCCCCTAAGAGCCTCTGTCCTTCTGAACGGGGTAGCAAAGCTTGCATCACGCTGTCCAGATGGTCTTGTTTTTTTCTTTCAACTTGCAGTCACATCTTTTTCACATAGTTGTTATCAAACAATTGTTAAAAATTTATGTGTCAGTGGTGATGTTGCCGGGTATTTTTAGAAGAATCCAAACTCTGGTACTTGCTTGTGTTTTGACTGTTCTGAAGTGATTATGCATAGTAGCTCAGGTACTGCGCTCTCTTGTTCCCTTGTTCATATCATCCTACAGTGATTTGGTATAAAAATCAATGGATAGCCTGAATCCTACACAACTTTTATGACAGTAATACAGAGTTTCTCTATGTTACATGAAACAACTCCCAATCCTTTATTGTTCATACAGTTCTTTTATGGGAAGGGGTTTGTAGTACAGAGTGTTTTTGTTACTTTCCTGGTCCCCCACTTTCTCCTTATTAATGGTGCTGTAAAGGAGTCACAGTAAAAGATTACTGCATCCTAAACTTCCTAACTGCTTTTGGTTTAGTAATTGCCATTTTTTGATGATAAAGACAATCCTGTGGCATCTGTGCATATGGATCTAAGAATGATCTATCAAATATCCTAATTCAGAGCAGTCCTTTACTAGAAAGTAAAGGTGAAGAAAGAAATACTCTTTTAACTAGTAATGAGTTACTTTAGCCCATGTTTTTATTTCTAGTTACAGTATATTGATATCACATTATCACAGTGAGTGTGCCCATACAACTTTCTGGAAACTCTCAAGTATGTTTTTTCCATGTGTTGCTCTTCTTTTTGCTGTAGAGAGATACATGCAGGTAGAAAAACATAAAGAGCATTATTTAGAGTGAACTTTAAAGTTTTAGATTCTGTGTCATCTTTCACTTAGTAGAGTCATCTTTGTATCTGGTGCCTTCTGTATTTTCTTGAGGATTATGCTTCACTTGAATTTTCTTTTTCTGTGTTAAATGACAATAAAAATGAAAGCTGAGTTTGTGAAGTGTTTTTCTGTAATTAGAATATGAGAATTGTCTGTAAATGTCTGTTGTAGAAGCTATGACTCACATGGCTTTACAAGAGATTTTGAGTCACTTATGTAAAACATGGTAATGTCAAATCCATTATGAATGTCAGACACATTTATAAGATTTATAACTGTTGGGGTCAAGAGATGAATAAAAATATTTTGAGTCCTGAACCTCCTGTTCTTTAAGAAGATATGTGTGCATGCCAGTACTAAGTAGTGTAATAACACATTTTCTTACTGTCAGATTATTTTATGTGAATGTATGCTTTTTCTGTGAAACCTTAGCTATAAAAATCAGAATGATTGATGCAAACTAAGTTATATCAAGACCAAGTTTAGCAGATTCTTAGTTAAGTCAATTAAGGTACAGTACTTCCACTATTTTTACTAATAGGCTTATTTAGCTTTTTGAGTAAATTGTGAGGTTATAAATTAAAAAATGACTTCTTGAACTGAATATAATGTTTTATGAGCTATATTTTAATTGAATGCTCTCATTCCTTAACAAATGCAAAAAAAAAGTCATTAATTTGGAAGGATGACTGTTATGTACTTCCGACTTCTTTTTCAGGTTTGTAGGTGGAGAGCTGAATATGTGTTACAATGCTGTAGATCGTCATGTTGAGAATGGACAAGGAGACCAAATTGCCATTATTTATGACAGTCCTGTAACAAATACCAAAGAGAAAATAACCTATAAGGAACTTCTTGAACAGGTATGTTTGAGAATAACCTTGTTACTGAAAATGGGCAGTAAATACTGCACAGCAGGTAGATACTAGAGAGGCAGAAATGGTCTACCCTGCTAGTTTATTCCTTTTGCTGTGCTCAGTTTTGATTTATAAACTTCAATAGCTGTATCCAATTAGACTGCATCTAAGAGATTTTGATCTTCCTCTAATTCTTCTTTTTCTTCTGCAGTTTAATAATTTTTTTTCTCAGTTGGTGAAATTTCTCTTTGTTGGTTAAATTTTTCTCTATTGGTTCCCCCCCCACCCTGGCCCCGAACAGTTCTTATTTCATATTTAGAAGGTAAAGCAAAGTGGTAGTCAAGTCACTTGACAGTTCCTACGATGAACAAAAATACAGTTCCTCTAGAAATGATGATGCATACCTTGGATGTTGCTGCACATAATTGAGTGCAAAACCAAATGAAATTTGACAGGGAGGAGCTCTAAAGAGAGCTGCATCTCACCTGCCCTGCTGTAGGCTGTAGTGGGGATGCTGATGGCCCCACACTAATTTTCTGTCTGGAAAGTCTGTGGATTTTGACTTCCACGTTGGCTGAGGTAGCTCACCACAGCTGGTGGTGTGAATGCCCAGTTCTGCATCAGCCCTTTCAGATTTGCTCAGTGCCCCACTGTGGGCTGTTACCACCATCCATGTTTGCAGTCTGCCCCATTTAAGGGTCTCTGCTTTCACAGCTGCCAGCTGGGGGTTTGCCCTTACGCTGCTCCTCTGTTTAGTTGGCTTTTTTCTTCCAGTTAATGTAGCCACTGCACTTAATACTGGGCACAAAGAAATGCTGGAGTCAGTGTCACGTTCTTCCTTAACATATTTCAATGTGCAAGATGCCTTACAGTGAATGGAACACACTCATTCTACTTCAGATAAGCACCTAGTGTCTGGAGGAATGTGAACCTACGGTTTAAAATATGAAATGAGGTTCACAGTAGAATAATTAAATTTGTAAGGGTTTTATTCCACTAAGAGAAGTCATGCAGTTACAAAAAAAGATAAACCTGTACTGCACTCTACATTTTAAAGAGAATATAGAAAACATTTACTTCTCACCAGTTTTCCATTGATTTACCAAGTCCAAAAAAGAATTTAGAAGTTACCATACAGTATGCTGGAGCTAGAAAGCTAAAAACTGGCTTCAGTGTTTTAAGTAATCAAGAGACTTTAAAAGGGCCCAGCTCCTTATCTAATTTTATTCTTTTATAAATATGTATTTTATATATAACATTATATCATATATATACAATTTTGCCACGTGCCATATATAAATATAATATATATAATATATGCACAAATATATATGAATATGTGAAATAAATTGATACATACATATACATATAAAAATACATACTTGTTTTATTTTAATCAAGTAATACAACATTTAAATGTAAACTACCTTAAGTGAACTCTGTAGAAATTTCTTCTGAAAAGCACTTGAAAAGTAGCCTTTGTTTTGCTTTTTACTTTTTTAGCTTGATATTGGTATTAATTCTCCTAAGTTTGTGTCTCTGTATTCTCTATAAGCATATTTAATGTTTTAGGATATATCAGGTTTGTACTGAATGAGAAAGTTTTTCTAGTTGACATACACATCCTTTCCTCCACATTTTCTCTTACAGCAGCATTACCAAACCAAATGGAAGAACTGGTTTAAGATTTCTACAGGTGTGTAGAAGAACTTACAGTCTTGCTGGTAGCTGAACCCTATCTAAATAGTGTTTTTGAATTCTCTGCAGTTTGCTCTTCTCTTTAATCAAAAGGGAACATAAGTGAAAGGCAGGATTTGGCATTAATATCTCATCTGTTGAAGCTGTCTAGTCCATTCTGTGGATTAAATTTAACTTGGTTTACCTGGTAACTATTGGACACCTGATAACAAAGGTATTCACAAAGAGATTTGCTGAAAATGTGGAAGACCCGGGCTGGTGTATTTTATGTCCTAGATCTTGTAGGGTCTAGGAGAGACTTTGAGAAAAGGCCTGCCAAACCACTGTCGAGCATGGGTGATGACTTTTGGCTCACAACCCTCAGTCACTGCTTGTTACCGTGTTCTCAGTCTGCTCAGTGTAGGCTAAAAGTACTATATTCTGTCTTTTTGAAATAGACTTTTAGTGCTCTGCATGTTTCATTATAGATCAGTGCAGATCAGACATATGACCAAAGCTGATGAACCTCCTGATGGGGAAAGAAGCCTTTCCCAATTTGAAATAGCCTGACAGTGTTTATCTGTGTGCAGACTGTCGTTTGGACTGTCCATGTCCAACAAATGTTTAGTAGTCTATCTGGGCAATAAGCTGATCGTGTAATGAAAGTGTCTTATCAGAGAGGCTGCCTCTTCAAAATGTCTCTACAAGAGATCAGCACTTGAAGTGGCAGAATTCTTTCTGGCTTTTGGTAATAAAAGAGCTGTGTGTAAATGGATTCACCAGAAGTTATGTAGGCTAACTGTGGGTCACAGGGTGGGAAGATGCAGAATTTTTTAGCAGGTTGGATCATTTGTTCCAGGATCAAATTCATGGTAAGAATGAAAAAAATTACCTAAGTGCTTGGTTGGAGATAATGTAACTCCTTAGAGAGGGTGGGATAGCTTGAGCTATGTACTCACAAAGCCTGTTGTTTTCAGATTATCCTAGTCCTTTTTACTTACTGCAATGCTGTTCAGATCTAAGTGCTACAGTAATGCTGCAATTTTAAATTTAAGCACCACTAAGGACAATTTCAGCAATTCTTTATCGATGTAAGTAATGGCAAGATCAGTTTGTGTTGATATTCTGTACAACTATACTGTCATCACACTTAGAAAATCTTGAGAATTACAGTTAGCTAAAGTAAAGTTGTACATAGTGCATACAGTTGCATTTTAAGTGAGTTAATTATATGTTGTTACAGATGAAATTTTCCAAAGGCAGAGAGGAGGAATTTGGCAAATTTAAGACTTCCAGAATGTACTGATAGGACTTTTTTTCTTTACTGATGCCTATAGGCCTTTAAATGAGGATTACAGTGTTGGGCTGAAGTCAGTGAAATGGGGATGTAGGTGAAAGTTTTGATTATGCCTTGGGAGATTCTCCAGTTCCAGTAGTGAGATGGCAGAAAAAGATAGGGGAGACACAAATTGTGTTAGAAACATTACTGAATTTGTGTCATATTAGGGAAATATGAAGATACCCAGAAGAAATAAGGAGCAATGGCTTCTGTTCATTTAAAAACAAATTTTCTGATTGTGGTGGAAAATATTACCATTTTCAGGTTAAGGCAAAGGTTATTAGGTACGTGAAAAAAACCCTTCTATTTACATCACTGGGTGTGTTCTCTAGAATGCTTCACTTGCTAAAATTAAATATCAAGAATTTGAGAGTTGTATTATTTGCAGTTGTTGATACTTGACAGAGCGTGTACACAAAAACAGTATGATTTGTCTCTGTGATTCTTTTCAATGACGATGCACAGTTCACATGTTGAATTCAGTGCTGTAATATTTCTGAGTGCAGTAATGTGGTTGGATTAGTAAAAACTAACAACCCTCCACCCCACCCCCCAGCCTCTGACTGCACTGAATGTTAGAAAAGTATGGGTGAGAAAGAAGGGCGTCAGGTTATCAACAGTTGGCCAGGATGTAATTTCTTCAGTGGGAAGATTTTTTCCATAATTACCCACCCTAAAAGCATCTTCTTCCATCAACCATTGTCAGTTTGAATTTATGTTTGTGTCTGTCGTGCTCTGCTCATATCTCCTGTATGTGACTGAGGAATCACCCAGATTGTTTTGTTTCCAGTAGTTTTATTCTTCATGCTTTACTCCATCTTCTTTCCTGGAAAAAATGACCAATTCTTTCTTAGCTAGAAATAGTGACTTTCATTTCAAGATTTTTTTTCTCAGAATTGCTTTAGAATCAAAACTAGAGTACAGACAGAAAATCCTACTGAGACTGACAACCCAACTTTTTTATCGTATTTGTCTGGTAAAGCAACGTTACCTTCATAAAAACTATGTATTAGTCTTTGTGTTCAATGCTGCTTTTCCTTATCTTATTTAAATCTCAAATGGCATTCTTCAGTGCATGTCCTAGAAAGATTTAACTGCGATGTCATTGGGGTAGCTCTTCAAAAATATTAGTATTCTTTAAAGGATGAGACTAATCAGGAATTTACAAAGAGTGGTGTCTTGGGTTTTTCACATTCCACACAAAAGACTTCCAAATAACACTCTTGAAGTCTGAAGAAGCAGCTGGAACTTGATCTCCCCTGACTGAAGATAGTTATACTGCAGCATGTCAACATCAGCGATGCCTACAGTAATATATAATTTGGTGCAGCTTGGGCAGATGAGTGAAGCAAAGCTGTGCTGAATTAACTGCTGAGGCTTCTTACATTTCCACTATATGTGGTTTGTGAGTTTTACTCTGGACTGGGTTTAGTTTCCTCCTTTGAACCAAATGTCTCATAGCTCATTTCAAAGCTATCTGAATATAGCTGTCCCACACATCTTTGCTTCCTTGACTTGTGGATTCCTTTAGGAAGTGCCATGCTTACCTTCATCTGCTTGATTTCTTCCCTCACTCCAAGTGGATGTTGTCCAAATAATGGCCTTTTAGGAGAACATAGATGCTGTAGGAATTGTGCAGAACACTATGGACTGTCCTTCAGAAGTACTAGAAATTCCTTCTGAGGCAAATGCCTGTTTGGAACCCATCTCTTCTGCAGAGAGAATGCCATGGCATCACTTCTGACTGAGCTTTAAATCCATGCCAAGCTGATAGGTATTACAGAATCCTCATCTCATCCCAGTCCCTCCTTGGGGACACACAGTCCACAACTGATCTCCCAAACCAGGAAGGAAAATGCCCCTTCCTAAAAATCTCCAGGTTCCTCCTCTCAGTCCAAAGAACTTCTTGGCATCTGAAAGAAGGAAAGAGAAAATACTGCAACTAATGCAATCCCAGCAGCTGTCTAGCTGTATGGGAAAGAAATAAAAT